AGTTCCATGTGAGGAAAGTTGGATGTGGTTAAATAAATAACACAATAAATACGTCCAACTGCTAGGACAAAGCCATTAAAAGCCGCCAGCACATCTCCCTTGAATCTGAATTATTATTGCTACAAAAATGGCCAATTTGTAAGAGTTGTATTATATATTGGTATTGACTTGTGGGTGGGAATTTGCCCTTTATGAGCCCATCTTATTGATGGAGATTCTGTCCTATCCACCTTTTTAGTATCTACTCTTCTGTTTCCTGCTTAAAAGAAGGAAAACTACTCTTGCTGATATTAAAAGAAGGGATGAGGGCTGCCCTCTTGTGGAAGAGATTGCGACTTTTCACTGCAGTATTAATTCTAGAGATTGTGTTGGTCCCTTTTTGTGATGCCAGGAGTAAGGCAGAATTCAGTATCACCATTTACACTTGTATGCATTTCTTGCTACCCTTTATAATGTGAACACTTGAATGCATTTCTTGCTAACCCTTATAATGTCTAACATATAGGTGCCTTGTGTTTCCAATGACAAAAAGCAAACATTGTAATGAGGGTGGTCTATAGAAAATCAGTTTTAGGGAACTATATCATACCAGAATCAAATACACACGGGAACTGTTTGCTAGAAGTATTACTCCTAGAAGTATTACTGGCAATTGAAGGTTTGCTGCACTGATAAAAAAAAATGATAAGTTTAGATTGTTGGAAGGGCCACACAAATTACCTGCAGGAGTAATTGGTACCTTTGTAACTGCTGGGATTTGGGTCCAAGACCCCTCATAGAGACCAAAAATCCCTGGATGCTCAAGTTCATGAATGTGTAGTACAGTCAGCCCTCCACAGTTGCTGGGGGTTGGGGCAAAAGTCCACCACAAAAGTGAAAAAACCTATAAATAAGAACCCCTGGGTTTTTTTTGTTTTTTTTTTTTTGCTTCAGAGAACACCTCTCTAGGAAACTATAGGTCCTTAAGCATGACTTTGTAGTCAGCTTATGATAGAAATTTCATAGACTCACACAAAGGCCCCATCTGGATTGCCATTTAGCGCAGTTTAGTCAGTGAACTCATATACAGTGGAGTCTCACTTATACAACATAAATGAGCTGGCATATCATTGGAAAAGTGAAAATGTTGGATAATAAGGAGGGATTAAGAAAAAGCCTATTAAACATCAAATTATGTTGATTTTACAAATTAAGCCCCAAATCATCCTGTTTTACAACAAATTGACAGAAAAAGTAGTTCACCATGCCATAACGTTATGTAGTCTTATATTTTAAGAATTTAGCACCAAAACAGACAAGGGTTCTTTCTTTCTTCCACCCTGGATGTTATTCCACAGGTAAATATATATTCCAGGTCCCTCACCTGTGAATCTGGGTGGGAGGCAGATTGTGTTGGATAATACAGAATGTTGGATAAGCAAAGGTTGGATAAGCAAGACTCTACTGTAATGCAGTTTAGTGCAGTTAAACTGCATTTTATAAGTCTACGCTGACCACATAATGCAGTTTCAAATTGCATTGTATGTCAGTGTAGAAGCAGCCTATGATGACCAAGAAATTCATAGAGAGAACATTTTGATAAGTTCTGTGAATAATCACACCCACAAAGTCAAACCCGCAAATGTGGAGAGCCAACTATAAATGGTGCCACTTACATAAAATAGCTAAATCAATGTTTTCCTTTTGGAATGAGGCCAAACAAAAACAACTTGGGATTGTTTTTCCATTACCAAGGATGCATATTGCATCAGATCTCCCCTCCAATCTATCAAAATATGTCCATCGTTGCTTTAGCAGAACTGTGGATTCCGTGTTTATAAAATCAGCACTTTTGACTCATTGCTGTGGTGTGGCTAGTCTACTGAGAGCTCTGCATATTCCTACTGGAAATTATGGATGGAGGAATCTGAATAATACCAAACATGGCAGGATGTGAGCCTAGCAGCATTCTCCTGTAGCTTATGCTTTGGGCATGAGGGAGAACTCAGGCACTCAATGCCCACTTGCATTTCAGTGCTGCATAATCCAGTGAAAGAACAAGATGCCTCCTTCCATATTTGAACAGACTCAAGGGATGAACTTTTCCAGAATGATGGACTGTACAAAAATCTGAGCTCCTATCCCCCTTGGTGGACTTCAGCACCACCTATTATGACTAAAGGACAAACAAAACTTTAACAAATTAAGTGCATTTCAAGAAAAGGAGTGATTTACAGCAAGGAACCAGAACTCTAGTGGTTAACCTTTTTTTACACCTGTCTCATTTTTTCCACTCTAAATCCTCCTCCAGCTGTCATCCTCTTGGGGGTTCTGGTTGTACGTTTAGTGTTGCAGATGCGCATCTGGAATTCTGCCGGAGGAAAAGCAGGCTTCAGAGAAGAGATGTGTGATGTCTAGTTTAGGCCAAACTATGCTGGCTCTCTGCCTCCAATATCCACAAAGATTATGAGTTCTGATGCATTATTTTTCTTACATTTACGACAGTATACTGTACACTGTATTATTAAACTAACTTTTTTCTGCTTGAATATTAATGTCTGTACATACTCGCACATAACTACTGTAAATGTATTTATTGTATTTATTTATTTACTGCATTTATATCCCGCCCTTCTCACCCCAAAGAGGACTCAGGGCGGCTCACAAAAAAGGCACAATTTGATGCCATAGATACATACATAGGATAACATAAACATATACATTAAAACCAAATAATTAAAAACATATCGATCTTAAAACAATGTATTATCGAAAGCTTTCATGGCCAGAATCACTGGGTTGTTGTAGGTTTTTTGGGCTGTATGGCCATGTTATAGAAGCATTCTCACCTGACTTTTCACAGAATACCCCATTAAGTTGCATAGGACTTCCTCCCCAGTAATGTACAGCTCTATCCATACTGCAGAATTATTGCCATTTGATATCACATTAATTGACTCATTGCTATGGAATCCTGGGATCTGTAGCTTTGTAAGAGTTCTCTGTCAGAGAGCTCTTGTGCCACGCCAATTAAAAATCCCAAGATTCCATACAATGGAGCCATGCCAGTTAAAGTGGTGTCAAACTGCTATCATTCTGAAGTGTGAATGGTCTCTTAGCCTAAATGCAATTACTTAGGAGTAGCCCTCACCAAATCCAGTGGCTTTTGCTGCAAATCAAACATCTACAGACCAATGAAAAGCATGAGCAGAGCTAGAAGAAATGCAGGCAATCCATAATTGCAATTCTTTTTTAAAATTAACAACTTCAAGAGAAGACAGGTGTTCAGGAACTATGGCACTGGCAGGGGAAATTTAATTTCTAACCCAAATACTTTCCAAATTATCCCCCACCTCAAGCTATTCACCCCATGATAGAAGCATACCGCCGTGTTTCTGCTCTACATGAAATAACAGGCATTTACATTTTAATTGGATATTTTAATTTAGGTGCAGAAAATTTTAATTAAGTATTTTGAGCATTATGCTCAGTTTGACCACCTCTATAGCTTTTCATAAGCAAATGAGGCAAAAAAAAACCAATGTTTTTTTTTTATCTCCGCAGATTAGTGCCTCCACATTGTGCCAGCAACTGAAAGTACATCCATATTTCACACAGATGTTTATGATGTTTGAAAGCTTGTGCTAATTCAAAGAAATTGTTGCAAGGGCATCTTTGCTATTTACTCACCAACAACTGAAGGAACTTTTTGAGAGTGAGAGCAGTTGGAAAATGGAAGCAATTGTCTACAGATGATGAGGTTTCTTTCTCTGGTTGTATTCAAAAAGGGGCCAGACAGCTACCTTTTGGGGATACTTTACCTGGATATCCTACATTGAGCAGCGGGTTAGATCTGATAGCCCATAAAGCCCCTTTAAATCTATAATTCTAACCCAAGAGACTGTGTGTAGGTGTAAGAAGACAAAGGACCATAAGAAATAACTGGAATGAATCTCTCATTGGCTTTGCTTTCAGTATAACAAATGTGGAAGTAGTACATTTGTCTGGGATTTCAGTCCTCCTTTAATTCTGTTTCCTGGGATTTCAATCATTCCTTGACCCAATTCACCTCCTGAAAGTAGCCTTACTCAGAATGGGGGAGAATCGCCATGGCATTAAGAGAGATACCAAGGGCTATCCAATCCAACCCTCTGTCATGCATGAAAACACAATTAAAGTATTCCTGACAGACAGCCATTCAGCTTCTGCTTAAAAACCTTCAGAGAAGGAGACTCCACCATTCTCCAATGCTCTTCTGATTGTTTAGATGGAATTTCTTTGGGTTGTTGTAGGTTTTTTGGGCTGTACGGCAATGTTCTAGAAGCATTCTCTCATGACATTTCACCTGCATCTATGGCAGGTATGAGGATGCCTGCCATAGATGCAGGCAAAACATCAGGAGAGAATGCTTCAAGAATATAACAGCCCAAAAAAAACCTACAACAACCCAGTGATTTCTGCCATGAAAGCCTTCAACAATACTTGGAATTTCTTTTCCTGCCAATTTAATCCATTGCTCTGCATCCGAGTCTCCAGAGTAGTAGAAAACAAGATTGCCCCCTCCTCAATGTGACATGCTTTCAGATATTTAAACATGGTTCTCATGTCCCCTCTCCACCTTCTTTTCTTCAAGCTAAACATATGCAGCTCCCTCAGCTGCTCCACATAGGGCTTGGCTTCCAAACCTTTCAACACAAGCCTTTGGCTTCCAAACCTTTCCAAACAACGCCTTGGGTAAAAGGGAACTTATTTGTGACAAAGCAGGAAAACCTTACTTTGTGGCAGATTAATTAGGTACTGGATTCAATATGGGCCATGTGTGGACAGCAGTCCTCAGAGTCCTTTCAGGTTGTAACCCAGAAGGCTGTAACCCCTTCCCCCAAACCCCTTTAAAATTACAAATAAGTTAATCTGGCCACCATTACTCTGGTACTGGAGTTCTCCTGGCACGTAGAAATGCCATGCCAGGAGAAAGGGGGTGCAGAAGCAAAATCACTCCTACCCCCCCCCCCACACACACACACACACATACACACACACACACACTTCTCCTGGTGCATCATTTCTATATGCCAGGAGGACTCTGGCATCAGGGTAATGGCAGCCAGGAATGTTATTTTTAATTTTTAAAACTTTTTCTGGGCAATTTTCTTTGGTATCCGGGTGCCCTGTTGGAAGGTCTGGCTGGGCGTCTATGCACACATCAGATTTTGGCGCATGCACACACACCAAGCAGGGGTTTTGTGGGGAGTTGTGTGGACCTCCTGTGCCCGATTGGATTTCTTAAACTAACTAAATGTAGGCTATCACTTTTCTTCTCCTGTATGATTTTTAAACATGTTTTGCCAGATTAAAAAAGCCAGTGGAGCTTTGAAAGCTTGAATGATGCATTTTGTGCATTTTGGTTGACCATTAAAGGTGTCAGTCTTTTGTGGGATTTGTATTTTGCTGTATATCTTTCACAATTTGCACAATCCACATATTCAAGGGATTGATTCCTCAGATGGGATCTGGCAAGGACAGTTGAGGGGGGAGAAAGGGTGTGAAATAAGGTTTTTTTAGTTTCACATATGCATAATCTATAACACACAATCAGATTAATCAATCTATCTAGGTGTGAACAGGCATGTGAAAATGCTAATTCTACTTGAAAACACACACACCTGTAATCTGTTAGCAGTATAAATTATATAGAAATATGGACATTGTGATTGTTTGGTATATATGTATTCTATTCTGCTTCTCCAATTCAGGAAACTGCCTTTGGAAATCTTACTCAACCACATCTAGCTTCTATGAACTTGGTAGTTGTTATCCTCATTAGTTTGAACTATCTTTGCAGCATCTGCAAGGGCTAGAAACTTGTTCCAAAAAGTTTTAATAAATGCTGGGAATTCTCAGGAAGAAAAGTTCTGACATGAATGCCATATTTAGAACTTTTCCCCCTTGCATGTGCAAAATTCATTCAGGTCTTATCACTAGTAATGCGCCAAAAGTTCTCTAAGCTCAGGATTAAGGTGAACTTCAGGGACTTATAAAAGATGAGATATGCCAACTCCCAAATTCTTCTGTCTTGGATTAAATCCAAGCAGAAGAATCCCCAAGTCACACACACATTCAGACCAACTATATTTCTTGAAGGTCAGTGAGATTTCTTCCTCCTTTTGCTCATCATAAGCATGTTGCTGAGCTGAGAGAGGAGAAAGCAAAAAAGATCAAATCTCCATTAATCCCTCTTATTTTACTGCTGCATTCCTCCTAGAGAATCACTGCTATTGTTCCAGATGGATAAGCCCCGTTGAAAGTGAAGAGACTTGAAGTGAGGACATTATGGCAGTAGGTGATCTTATCTCAACTTGTGAAATGCTGCTATCCCAAATCCTTTCTATTCCAAGTATCGCTAAATATTGCTACTCAAGATTTTTTTTATATAAGAATAATACCAAAGTTTGAGGTAGGGCTTCAGTTCGCCAAAGAATTGTGTTTAGCTCAAGGCAACAGCTCCTTAAAGCAGGAATGACCTGATCTTCAACGGTATCACTCAGTAGTCCAGTGTGTTCCTTCACTGCTGAACTTTTGTCAGTATGAAGTGGCCAAGAAACTAAGGTTCAAGGCAAAGAGTCAGTTATGCAGATATCAAATGAACAAGAAGCTGTGAACAGAAGGACAAGAACAAGTGCCCAGCTGGCGAACTCTCTTCCAGGTTCCTTTACATCTTGGGTTCCCCACAGCCTGCCAATGCAGTAACTGGTTCCTGGGAGAGAAAACAAAATAAAATCATGCAGTGACATAAAATATTTCTGTCTCCCAAGACAGCATCAAAGTATGCATTACGTTCTCACCAGTGGATCAGCTAATGGTTCACTAAACCTGTTACACCAGACAGCAAGTGGAATCAGATAGTAGAGGCCTCTGGTCCCACCTCCTTCACAGGCATGGATGGTGGGAACAAGAGACAGGGCCTTCTCAGTGGTGGACCCTCAGCTATGGAACTCCCTCCCCAGTGATATTAGATCAGTCTCTTCCAGCCTGGCCTTCAAAAAAAAAAAGTAAAAACATAGCTATTGTAGTGCAATAAATGGATACAGAATATGTGCAATGACAACTGGAACGGCTCCGGATTATGATCTTGTACTGTGTGGTTTTAATAATTGGTGTAATGTTTAGATTTTTTAATTCTTTGTTTTTAATGTAAATGTTTATTTTAATTGTATGTTGTTTTATGGCATTTAATTGTTGCCTATGTATAATACTACTCTGAGCTCCCTTCGGGGTGAGAAGGGTGGGGTATAAATATGGTAAGTAAATAAATAAATAATATGAAAATAGAGGAGACTAGAAAAGTTACGCTCGCAGAATTCCCTGGCCAGTATAACCAGGTGGTCATGCTGGTTTAGGATTATGGTTACTGTTGTGAAAATTTTAACTGTTCCAAACTCTAAAACAAAGCATTAAACACTTCAATCAATTCTTATTTTCTTTATATATCACATGGCGTCATCCATGTGTTCTGTTTTCACAGAATGACCTGGATTGAGACCAAGTGAGACACTTGGCATAGTCCTTTTGAAACACCGAAGGACTTGGGTCTGGTCATTCTGGCAACCTAACTGCGCATTACTAGAACTGTCAGGTGTGTTATCAATTATGTGTTTTGATTTCCCCAATGAAAAATTCCAAATTACCAAGATGCAATATATTTATTTATTTAAGAAATTTATATTGCACCTTCCCCCACTCAAGGGCCCAAGGTGGCTTACAGCCAACAAAACATACAATATACAAGTTAAAACCAATATCCCTTGTTAAAACCAATATATTACCTCCATGTGGCATTTTCTCCATACTTCTACCTTAATACTGTGCAGGATGATACATGGCTCCCAGGAAGAGACAACCTGAGGTTTGTTTTTTTTAATGGATAGATATGACATGGATAGATATCCACGGCATTGCCAATACAAAAAAAGGACCCGGGTAGCAAAACTGTAAGTATCCTTGAATAAAATCCTAGAGGATTGTCACAAATTAGAACAGAAATTACTAAACTAAATGGATTAATGGTATAAAGTAGCCTCAGAGGTTCATATTCTACTAATTTCAAGATTTTTGTCTTTGGTTGTTGTTGTTGTTCATTCGTTCAGTCGTCTCCGACTCTTCGTGACCTCCTGGACCAGCCCATGCCAGAGCTCCCTGTCGGCCGTCACCCTGTCGGCCGTCACCACCCCCAGCTCCTTCACGGTACAGAGGGTACAGAGGGTCATATTCCAGCAACCTTAGTTTTGACCATATAAAAACTCTTAGTATGCAGTGCCAAAGTATGTGACGAATCCAACTATATATTATAAAAGCAGCACTGTATTGATACCAGAAGCTTATTTTCAGGGAACATGATGCACAAACTGTCCTCAGATCAGTTACAGATTAGGACCTGCTGATGGAGAAAAGCACATAAAGTTATACTTGAAAAACATTTTCTTACATCCTTCCTTATCTGCATGTTCATAAGTGTCCATCACCAAACTGTACTCCACAACTGGCGTCATTTACAGCAAACCTTAAGGAACAACTAATCCTTGTAAGCACGAGGCACTGAATCTTCTAGCATTTCCCAATGCATGCTCTTTGCAAATGTCAGCTATGCTTACTCAAGCCTGAATCTTCTAATGCCTTTCTTTTTGTTAGAAATACTCTAACAATCACAATATCAATTTAAAGATTGATTGTTTTAGGATTTCAAAGTACCAATGGAAAAATACATAACTACATTTTTGTAATATTTTACTGCTCATTTATTATTAGTGTGGTATCTTAAATTACTGGTGTGGAATGTATTGTTGAAGGCTTTCATGGCCAGAATCACTGGGTTGTTGTGAGTTTTCCAGGCTATATGGTCATGTTCCAGAAGCATTCTCTCCTGATGTTTTGCCTGCATCTATGGCAGGCAACCTCAGAGGTTGTGAGACCTCACAACCTCTGAGGATGCCTGCCATAGATGAAGGCAAAACATCAAGATAGAACGCTTTGGGAACATGGCCATACAGCCTGGAAAACTCACAACCACCTTACTGGTATTGGATTTATTTGTATTTATATATAATTTATTTTTTATGTTATTGGAACCTTTTAAAGTTATGGTGGAGGTCTAACTTGAAATTGTCTCCAGTTAATCGAAGACCAGCTGAGACTTTTCCCAGCCAGCATGTGGGACAAAATGTATTTAGATCTTGCAAACTAGGGCCCCATCTACACTGCCATATAATACTGTTTGAAACTGCATTATACAGTCAGTGTAAACTCATAATGCAATCCAATGCAGTTAAAACTGGGACTGGGGCGCTGGGACTGTGGTGCAGCTGACTTCCATTAAGATCACTACTGACCGAAAGATCATGAGTTTGAAGCCAGCCCAGGTCACAGTGAGCTTCCAACCATTGTTCAGCTTGCGGTCAACCTTTGCAGCCCGAAAGACAGCTGCATCTGTCAAGTAGGAAATTTAGGTACCGCTTATGCGGGAAGGCTAATTTAACTAATTTACAACACCATAAAATCTCCAGCAAGCAAGCAAAAGAATGAGGAAGTACTCCTTCAGTGTCACAAAATGGACAGTGAAGAGACAGCTCCCCTGGTGGCCAGAATACCCTCATGCTGGAATGTTAAATAGCTTCTGTGTGTCTGTCTATATATGTTGTGTGTCTATGGAATTGAATGTTTGCCATGTATATGTACATTGTAATCTGCCCTGAGTCCCCTGCAGGGTTTATTTATTGTGTCAGGCAACCAAACAGTTGTATTACATTTTTGACAGAACAAACAAACAAACAAACATACAAAAGACACAGAGTTTGCAAGCTTGCCCCTGCGGGGTGAGAAGGGTGGAATATAAATACTGTAAATAATAATAATAAATAATTAAAATGCATTATATGAGTCTACACTTGCTTTTGGACAGATGCTTAAGCTATCATCTCCAACCCTCAGAAATGAACTGTATCCAGAAGGCTAGCTCATTTTCTGCTCATTCTAAAGACTTTCTCCACCTGCTTTCCCCACTCAAGTAATCAGGAATGGCAGAGCTTCATGTTATCACTTCCTACATGTTAGAAAAAAAATGACCCGATACCTCTTCAAAAGCTTATTTCAGAAAGAAAGGGGAAAGAATATTGGTAAACCAGCCCAGTTGCCCAAGACATGACCTTGTGAGAAATTCCAAACATGGCTGAACTAATTCAACCAAGTGCTACACATACACAAAAACTGAAATTAGATCACTCTGTTAAGCCAGTGTCATCATGTTGAAGGGCTTTTTATGAGATCTAGCAAGAGTAATCTTTCCAAAGAAAGAAGATTCCAGCACGGAAAGCAAAAATGAAATCTTAACATTTGGGCACCTTGGAGGGGAGAATAAATTTTACAGGAATTGACATAAAAAGCAGTTATCAAGAAGGAAGGACAAGGTTGGAGAGGAGGAAACCATCCACAGTGGGAGACTCCCATTGAAAACCAAAGCTGCAAAAGACACAAGGACATGGAAAAGAGCAAAGCACCTCTGAATGGGAAATTATTTGAAAGCACTCAGACAACTCAAGTGGTTTTTTATATTGGGGAAGGGGGCAAAATATTGCCAACAACACGCCAAATTACAAAAAAAAGTAAAGTTGCTTGAAAGAAAATATGCTTAACATGCTTTTATCTTGGAGAAAAAAAACAACTCTGGAACTCATGTCTAAACTAGAGCTCTGCACTGAGCTTCTGCAAAAAAAATCTTTTTTTCCTGGTTGTTTCTTCCCTCATAGTACATGCTGAAAACAGCATCTTCGGAGACAAAGAGCAGCCAGGTATTGAGTGATTTTTCTGGAAAAAAAATTTGGTGTGGTCTAGATCCAAGGGTGCTTCTTCTCTAAAAGAAAAATGGCAAGATTAACCTCTCTGCTTCAAACAGGGGTCATTCACTTTTTCTGAGATTGATTTGTACTTGGTGGAACTCCAAGCATGGAGACGATCTGCCAATGTTTGGATTTGAGACAGGCTCAGAAAGTGCATTAGCATGGACAGCTGGGCCATTTGTCAGTACTACTTCCAGCAGAGGCTAACTTGGATGTCAGGTCAGGATGACTACTATAATTTTTCTGTCTTCACCTCCAGCACTGCTAATGGCACATTTTGGAAAGTTCAGAACTTATTTTTTTCCACAGTGATTTATTGTCTCAAGAACTAAAAAAACTGCATTTCAATAAATAGGGTTAAAGACAGAACAAAACGATACTGCTAAGATTGGCAGGAAAATCGAGACATGAATCTATAGATATGGTTTGACAGCACTGGCTTCCATTAATGGATTCATCTTCAATGTGTGGTTATGAGGTTATCACTCATAGATGCCATTCACAACTGAATGACAGAGCAGGGTAAATAAGGCACAATGTCTTATTAACTAAGGCACAATGTCTAGGGATTTGTGAACTCTCCTAAGCTTGTATCCACACTACAAAATTATAGCAGTTTGCCTTTCATGGCTGTTGTGGATAGCATGGAAAGTGAGGATGAGGAGATACTGGTGAAAGGTCCAGCAACTGAGTTGGAGCCCAGCAGTACTTAGCAGCTCCTTCAACCAAGCTCTGAAGAAATACCCATCAAAGGAGCTATTATTTCTCAGCCTGCAGAACAAATGCAAGCAAGTTCCTTGGAACAGGCTGAGGAAGAGTTAACAGTTCCAGCTTTCATGGACCTGCGAAAAGAGAGTTCTCAGCTGTGCAGATCCTGGATAACAGTTGAGAAGACAGCCAGCAACAGGTAACATCTGTGCACTTAGGATTTAAGGAACTCAAGCCTGGCACCTTGTTGCTGGCTGCAACATCAGTTCTAGAAGTTAAGACCCTGGACTCTTGCCATCTTGTGTTTCCTGAACCCTGAACTTACCCTGGACCACAGCTATAGGTTCTGATTCAACCTTGTACTTGGGACATTCTGAGATTTGGCTTGCAACCCCGGAAGAGACATTCAGCTTCTCTATTGTATTATCCTGTTAATGTTTGCAACTCTGTTAAACTATCTGTTTGAGCTAGATTAATGCTTTGCTAGTACTTGAGGTTGAGGTTTCTGATAATGCAATGGAATTCTGGGATTTGTAGTTTTGTGAGATATTTATTTACCCTGCTCTGTCAGAGAGCTCTGGTGCCACAACAAACTACAAATCCCAGAGTTCCATAGACTAGAGCCATTGCACTTAAAGTGGTATCAAACTGATATAATTCTACAGTGGGGATGGTCTCTAAATTTGCATCAAAAAGATTTTAAAGAACAGTAGATTTTGGTCTGCCTCTCTTAAAATCTTGAGACTCTGATTTTTAATGTTACCTCATCTCATGCTTGTAAGTCTCCAGGGATTCCAAACAGAATAAAGCTGTGTCAGACTTTAACTTCCATTTACATTTTACTGTGTTTTACAGCCTTTCCTGACAGTATTACTGGCTGTTATTGCTCTCTATCAAAATAACTTTGCTGCTCTGTATCACAGATGGAAGGGCAGTGTGTGTTGAAAGAGACCTAACAGACCTTGATCTTGTTGATGCCATAAAAAAGCCTACCTTCAAAGGCTTTATTGGCCTGAATAGTGATTTTCCACCACTGAGTGTGTTTATAGCCCCTAACAACCCAACAGTTCATGTTTCAAATAAAATGTATCTGGAGTCCTGGAAAAAGCACTTTTGAAAATGATGAATAGTTAAGTAATAGTTAAATACAGTCATCCCCCACATTTGCAGATTTAATGCATACCGTTTCTCTATAACCCAGAAGTAAAAGTGGGGTTAAACAACGTTTGGGGGAAATGCAGACAGAATTGGGCTAATAGCTGAAAAGCATGTGTTTAAAAGGTGCGCATAAAACCCAATACCTTTAAGGCCTTATATGGTCTGGGGCCAGCATACCTGAGGGCCCACTTATCCCCCTACCAACCCCAGAGATTATTCCGGTCCGAAGACCAAAATTTGCTTGAAGTCCCCAACATCCGGACTTATCATCTGTCCTCTACTAGGCAGAGGGCCTTCTCGATTGTAGCCCCTTATTTATGGAATGCCTTGCCAGTTGAAACCCGAACCATCCGAGAGCTACTTGCTTTTCGGAAAGCCTGTAAAACCTTTCTCTTCTGACAAGCTTTTGATGGGTGAATAACTCGGAACTATGTCTGTTCTTGTTTTTATTGTATTTGTTAATTGTATTGTTTTAATCTACTGCTGTAAACCGCTCCGAGCCAAATTGGGAGTAGCGGTATACAAGTCAAATAAATAAATAAATAAAAATTCCGCCCAAAATGTGCACCTTCACATGACTGTATATTTCTGCAATGATGGAAAACGATTTCCTTCCCATCCCACTATGTGGACTGCTCCAGCACATGTGTTTAAAAAGCCAGAAACAGCTGATCGAGCTGTCAAAAAAAGGATCCACAGACACACAGGTAGCTAAAGGGAAACAATGAGAACTCTCTGCAACCATTCCTTTGTTTCTCTCGTATAATATTAAACAGAGCTTGAATTAACAGTTGGGGAAAGAGAGAGACAAGAAATCTGCTTGTGTGTACATTGGGATTTCCACATGTGTGCCGATGAAGTCTAGTGCATCTTGGAGAAAAAAAACTACCACTAGATATCCCTCATCCACCCTTTAGCTCCCAGCATCCCTGACCATTGAACAAGCTGGCTAGAGCTTCAAGGAGTTAGAGGACCAAACACCTGAAGGGCCACAGGTTGCTATCACAAAATATAGACCTGGCAAGCAATGTGTCCATAGGTTAAAAACCATCTCTTAAGATTTCTCCTGAATAGCCAGAGAAATCATGATGTTTTTAGATTACAAATCCCATCAGATTTCTGCAGCATCACCCTAGGTGAAGAATGCTGGGAGGTGCAGTCCAAGAATAGTTACAGAGTTGTGTGATTCCTATCCTGGACTGACACGAACATCTGATGTCTAAAATGCTTATAAATCCTTTCTCATTAAGTTTCTTGCCGGCTATATAAATGTTAAGTACAGTGAAATGAAAATATTCCCCATCCAACTGAGCAAAAGGGAATGGTAGAGTCTTACTTCTTGGCTCCACTGCCATCTCCAGAACAGTGCAGGCTCCTGGTATCCAAAGCCGGGTGCTGGCACTCCACACACACTCGGTGACCCTCACTGAGATACTTCATCCAATGAGTGTATGAACTGTTTCCATTCAAACATCCCTCTGTGATGGCTGTGAGCTGAAATTCCACACAATACCTGACATGGAAAAGACAGAAGTGGATAGCAATCCTATGCACATTTATTTCAACTTATATCTCTGGTGCATCTACACCAGTGGTTCCCAACGTTTTTTTGACCAGGGACCACTTTGACCAGAGACCACTCTCCAACATTAGTACCAAAGGGATTACAAATCGGTTTTTGATCAACTTTAGATTTGGTTTGGTTAATTGGGGTGCTGATTCAAAAAATTGCATTGGATAGACCACATCAGCTCTAGTTTCTGATGCAGAACAAATGCCATCCAGTAGTCACCATCTGCTCACCCACAGAACAGCATATTTAATAACCTAGAGCTGATGTGCTCTATCCAATGCAATTTTCTGAATCAGCACCCCAAATAACCCCAGGAACAGGCCTAAAAATGAAGACACCAAGGGAAAAAAATTGGTTGGGCTGTTTTATTATTTGTAGTAGTAACAGTTAGGCCGTGGACCATATTTTAGTTCTTGTGGACCACTGGTGGTCCATGGACCACAGGTTGGGAACCACCGATGTACACTGTAGATCTAAAGCTGTGTGACATGACTTTAACTGCTTTGACTCAATGCTATGAAATCATAATAGTTGTAGTTTTACCAGGTCTTTCACCTTCTATGCCAAAAAGAACTGGTGCCATGGCAGTTAATCCCAAACTACATTAATTCTACAGTGTAGATGTAGCCCATGTCAAAGCTGATAAAGTGACTTTTTTGGACCACAGATTACAGAATCTCTCAATCAGCATGACCACTTTAAATACTACAAGCCAACATGACTACTTGTGGTCCAACATAATTATATGGTAACAAACTGGGGAGGCCATTTTAGACTGTACAATTTAGGTGGCAGATCAAATGCTGAAATGTTCCTCTATGGAATAGAAAATATTTCCTGTATGAAGAAAACTAGAAAGTACACATTACAATATTGTTTTATCATGTTCATGGGACACATTTGTTTTGTTCATAGAGAAACATTCAACTTTCTGATCATGGGATAGACAACCCAAGAACAATTTTACTCCTTATTCCATAGCTTGTGTGAGTCTGGATTTCTGTGGGAGAAAATATCTGTGACATTTGAAGAATTTATTTTCACCTATGCTCTACCCAACCCTACAGTTTTTAAAATGATGGCAGAAATAGTGCCAACACAATATAAATTGTAAAATGCTGAAAAGTATCTTAAAATCAATACCAGAACTAGGAAATGAGGGAAATTGTATGTATATTGGATTAAGCATACACAGAATTTAAAAGCAATGCTTTACTAGAAATGTCATCACCGTAATTGTGAAGAGTTGCTTTTTTAAAATGTGGCCAATTAAAGCTGTATTCCAAAACCAATGCCAGAAATGGGAAGAACATACATTTCTTGGTGTAACATACTTTCTATTTATTTTTTAAGTTACTTCGAAAATAGATTTTCAGCATTTCAACAAGCAATTTGAAAAGAAAAGAGTTTTTTCAAGGTTTATGTCATTTTCTCATCAAGCCTAAGCAAGCGATATAAATAAAAACAAAATGCAGTGAATAACATAATGTGCCACAAAAAGCAATGGCAATGTCTTTTTTTAAAAAAAAATGGTAATTGAAACATATTACTTTTAACATGTAACTTTCCATGCTAGAGTTTAGGGAAGCATATATAGGGTTGAGAAGAGACATGATCACCATGTTTAAATATTTGAAAAGCTGCCATAAAGAAGAGGGAGCAGGCTTGTTTTCTGCTGCCCTGGAGACTTGGACTTGGAGCAATTTACAGAAAAGGAGATTCCACCTGAACATTAGGAAGAACTTCCTAACCATGAGAGCTGTTCAACAATGGAACTCCCTGCCTCATGGTGTGGTTGTAGCTCCTTCTTTGGAAGCTTTCAGCAGAGGCTGGATGGCCATCTGTCAGGGGTGCTTTTCCTGCTTAGCAGGGGTTTGTACTGGATAGCCCACATGGTCACTTCCAAGTTTATGATTCTATTATATGAAGCTATATTGTTTTGGAGTCTTCTTGTCCAGTTTTATTACTCTGTAGGTATGTTTGCTCTACAAAACACTTTGGCCCCACATTAATTCTCATGGCTCCACCCTGCAGAATCCTGGGCACTGGAGCAATCAAGTAGAGAATTATATATCTTTCAAGAGTCCACAGAAGAAAGTTGGTGTCAAATCACAACTAGGGTGCTAAGAACAGATAAACCCTACAATCATTATTGTTTACTATATGTCAGGCAGTCAACAGTGCAGCCCAAGGGAGGGGAAACAATGGCACTTCTACAGATTACAATGCTCCAGGGCATTAACTTACCCATTTCTTTCATTCTCATTAGACACTGCACGCTTTTTCCTTGCTTTCCCATAGCCTCCAGTGGTTATTAACGCTGGAACTATTCACATCAAAAGGGAAAAAGAAAACATCACAAACATGATAAGTGACAGCTGCGCTCCAAGCCTGGTTACATCTACAGAACAATAAAGATTGGGACATCTATGGACTTTAATGCTCTGTTATTTTTCCTCTGGTAGGAAACCAAGGAATGCTTTCTCCCACCGTTCCACATAACTGGTGATTATTCAACATTTTACCAAACAGAAAGGGGAATTTGTCCTTATCCTGGATCCAGAGAATCTCTTTATTGTGAGAGCAAATAGAATCATAGAATCATAGAGTTGGAAGAGACCTTGTGGGCCATCCAGTCCAACCCCCTGCCAAGAAGCAGGAATATTGCATTCAAAGCACCCCTGACAGATGGCCATCCAGCCTCTGTTTAAAAGCTTCCAAAGAAGGAGCCTTCACCACACTCTGGGGCAGAGAGTTCCACTGCTGAACGGCTCTCACAGTCAGGAAGTTCTTCCTCATGTTCAGATGGAATCTGCATATTATCATTCCAGGCATGCAATATTTTTATAATAATTCTCAACAGGGTCCGTAGAAAAATACGCCATATATATATATATATATATATATATATATATATATATATATTCCTTGACCCACCCATGGATTTTATTTTGGCCTCACAAAATAAAGAGAGGGAAGGGGAAAAAGGGAATAATAGCCTAAACTAGTAAGCTATTTGTAATGCTAAGAAAAAAGAACTGGTTCTTTAGAACTCATGTTGGCTTTTGTAAATCCACACTAACCTGGGCAAACTAGAAAAAGTTATTTTTGGACAGTTCCTCCAATTCACCAGTCAGATGGTACTACATCACATACCCAAATGCCCTCTGGATATGTAATGCTGCACAGAATATGTAATGCAGCACAGATATATGTTAGAGGAACATGAAGGAGATGTTACTGATATCTGCAAGGAATCTCTTACCAAGAAACTTATGTATATCTGGTGCTAGGCCAAAGAAACTGGAGAGGGATTCTACTGTCAACATTGCTATGGGCCCTTGAAGGACGCTTTCAGACAGTGCCAAAAATCCACATTTTAAATAAGACAAAACAGCACAGGACCTAACAACATGTCCACACACAGCCTTGTCAGTCCCGGGATATGGTCCGGTGCCAGCCTTACAAACTTCCTCTGTAGCAGATCAAGATGGAAGGTAGAATCCCCAGTGAGTGCCCTGCTCTACTTACTAAGGGATTGCTTGCACTCTGTTCCATGTCGTGTCCAATATTCCAAACAACCAGCCCTTTCCTCTAGAGAAGGGCAAGCTTCACCCCCATTTTTTGGCTCCTGGATCACGTGCCTCCTCCGAACACGGTGTGTTGCCTTGCAAGGCTCTGCGCAGCTGCTCCATTCACTCCAGTCAGAGACTACACAGGAAACCACTGTGGGGACAAGAAGAACATCTCCAACTTTTGCTCATTCTCTGTACTACCAGCTTGACAGTCTCAGTCTCTCAGAAAAAAAGGACAAGAGTATCAGCACTTTAGAAGTTAAACATAAGGTGCAGCTACACATGAGAATTAATACAATTTGATACCACTTGAACTGCCATGACTCATTGCTGTGGATTCCTGGGATTTGTAGTATGCTGAGAAAGGTAAAGACCTTGTAAAACTACAGCTCCCAGAATTTCATAGTATTGAGCCATGGCAGTTCAAGTGTTGTCGAACTATTAATTCTACAGCAGGGCGGCTCAACCCATTACGCAAAGTAAGCATTTGCAGTATACTTGATTTTGCCCAGGGGCGCTCTTGAGGCGCTCTTGGGGGAAAATAGACCTTGACATATGTGAGTTGTAGTTACTGGGATGTATAGTTCACCTGCAATCAAAGAGCATTCTGAACTCCACCAATGATGGAATTGAACCAAATATGGCACACAGAACTCCCACGACGAACAGAAAATATATATCAGTGATTGGTTGGGGAGGGGGGCAAAATACTGTTTGCTTACCGTTGAAAATTAACTAGGACCGCCTCTGTTCTGCAGTATAGATGCACCCCTGGATGATGTTTCTGAACTGACCAATAGGGCCACAAAAATAGGCATATGCTTTAAAGTAAAGGTAAAGGTTTTCCGCTGACACTAAGTCCAATCGTGTCTGACTCTGGGGTTTGGTGATCATCTCCATTTCTAAGCTGAAGAGCTGGCATTGTTCATAGACACCTCCAAGGTCATGTGGCCAGCATGACTGCATGGAGCATCGTTACCTTCCCACCAGATCGGTACCTAGTGATCTACTCACATTTGCATGTTTTCGAACTGCTACGTTGGCAGAAGCTAGGGCTAACATATGCTTTATCCTTATGCAAAGGGGGATTGCTGCCTCAGTCAGGAAATTTAGTGTGGTCATGAAAGGGAAACCAAATGGCCAGTTCTTTAATTTTAAAGTTTTATTGTCAAAAAGGTGGAGAGGTACTTGTGGGATTTTTGTACCTCAATTGCCAAAATAATTTTGCCAGCTTTATATACTATCTAATTTGATACAGCAGGCAGAAGGTGTCCCAGACAGTGAAATGTATTGAGCCAATCCTATGCCTAGCAGCGTACACAAACAAAATAAGGCAGTGGACCAGACAGTACAATTGCATTCATACAGTTAGGAGAAATCATTTTGAAATGCTCTTCCAAACTAGGTGTTCTATACGGCATGTAAAAAACTAACATTTAGAACAGTTAAATATTTTTCCAGATAAAAGGGGTTATCCGTGGAAATTTTTAAGGCAACTGTGTTACAATAGGTTGTCGAAGGCTTTCATGGCTGGAATCACTGGGTTGCTGTGAGTGTTACGAGCTGTATGGCCATGTTCCAGAAGCATTCTCTCCTGACATTTTGCCCACTTCTGGGGATGCCTGCCATAGATTTGAGCAAAACGTCAGGAGATAATGCTTCTGGAATATGGTCATTCACTGGGTTGTTGTAGGTTTTTCGGGCTGTATGGCCATGTTCTAGAAGCATTCTCTCCTAACATTTCACCTGCATCTATGGCAGGCATCCTTAGAGGTTGTGAGGTCATTCAGTCATTCGCCTTGGAAAACTTACAGCAACCCAACAGTATTATGCTTGGAAAAACCAATCCACTGCTATTTTTGTAAAAGTCCACAAGATGGCACCACTTTAAAATATGGGGTTGATATATACAAGAGTGTGTGTGAGAGAGATACAAAGAGAAAGTAAATAATTTTATTTATTTATTTACCGTATTTCTATCCCGTCACTTTTCAACACCCAAAGGGGACTCAGGACAGCTTACAATGGGCACCGTTACGATGCCACTACATAACAATTACAATAATTATTGCAACGCCCTTTATGTGGGTCTTCCAATGTCTACGACCCGAAAGCTCCGTATTGTTCAGAATGCAGCAGCCAGGTTACTCACAAGAATGCCCATGAGGTGCCATATAACACCAGTGCTGCAACATTTACATTGGCTTCCAACTGAGTACCGTGGCCTGTATAAGATGCTAGTTCTGACCTCTAAAATTCTTTACGGCCAGGGTCCATCATACCTTAGGGACCGCCTCTCCTTCTCCCATCATCGGAGGTCGCAACGACCAGCCCAACGTGACTTACTCTATATACCAAGTCCTAGAGAAGTGCACTTGGAAAGGACCAGACGCGGGGCTTTTTCTATTTCTGCCCCTGCCTTATGGAATTTCTTGCCGACCTATATGAGAGCCATGCGTGACTTAGGGCCTTTTGCTCTAGTACTTAAGACCTGGCTTTTTACTAGAGCATTCGATCTCTGTTAATTTTTAATTTCTGTATGTATGTATTTTATCTTTTACAATTTAACTATGAATCGCCTAGAGCATTCTTGGATGGAGGGCAATTAATAAGTAATTAAATATGAATATGAATATGAATAATGAAACCATAATTGAACATAAGTCATAGTTAAAAACAA